ATAAAAAAAAAAATAGAGAAAATGTTTTGTGCGCAAACACACAAATATAAATGGCGCGCATGGATTTGTCATTAAAAACTAGTAAAAAAAAAAAAAAAAAAAAATTTTAAATAGTTAATAAACTTCGTATAACGAACGATGGTCACTCGCGGTTACCCGTATCAAACTGAATCATTGGGGGCCTTAGCAAAGTAGATTAGCCTCTCTTTCTCTCTCTCTCTCTCTCTCTCACTCACTCACTCACTCACTCACTCTTTATATTTCCCCCACTTAAATAAGTTAAGTTTTATTCTTTAAAGAGTAATTTCTTGCGTGATGTATATATATCTATAAAAAAAAAATATGTCCGTTAACGGTTTTTTTTTTTTCTGTACGGTGACTTTGTATTAAATTAAAACGGAAGCTTTCTAAATTTTTGAATAATGTAACGTAAAAAAAAAAAAAAAAAAATAATGTCAAATCAATAAAATCTCTTATTTGTTAATGTTATATATATATATTTGCATAAACGTCATGTGGTGTGCGTGTGTGTGCGTGTGCGTGTGCGTGTGCGTGTGTACATTTGGGTGCGCATATGTTTTTAAAACAACGACATTCGAAATGTAATTTTAACTTTTTTTAATTTATTATTAAATGAAATATGGTACTTTGCACACACATCCACACACCTGTCGATTAGTATTATTATTATTATTATTATTATTATTATTATTAATAAGAATTATGTCGAACGATAAATAAACTTATTGATTTGTTGTAAACACACACGAGTAAAAATTATTTTTATTATCATTATTAATTTTTCTAGTAATATAGTAGATGAATTTTTTTTTTTTATTAATCGTTAATAAATCTATTATCATTATTATTATTATTATTATTATTTTGTTTTAAATTGAAATGTCAAAAAAAAATTTAATTCTTTGTGTGTATTATTGATTGGGTAAGCAAATTAAAATGCTTATTACGAAAAATATTTAAGTCTGAGAAAAAATTTTTTTTTTTTTTGCAATATCGTCAAACGTACCTGAAAATTATTTAAAAAAAAAAAAAAAAAACAAAAATGTTTATAAATAAATTAAAAATTTTATATTAATAATAATAAAACCCATTACATGAAATTTGTTTTAATTTTAAGTAATTTTAAGGTACACACACAGACACACAACAAATTTTTAAAAAGTATTAAAAACTTTTCGAAATAAATTCTAAATTTAATGTGTAAAAATTATTATTATTATTATTATTATTATTATTATTATTATTATTATTATTATTATTATTATTATTATTATTATTATTATTATTATTATTATTATTAAAAATTTCAC